TTTWWTTTWAAGTACTTTTCTCATCAGTGAAATATTTTTTCCCCCAGTCATTTTCTGTTTAGGTATATTTACTTCTACTTACTACTTACTACTTTATTTTTTTTCAAGTACTTATAGAACTCTGAAAATCAGTCCACTTGTTCACGTTTTTTTCTTTGGAAGGGACAATGCACATTAATTGACTTTTCTATAAATACCCCAGGATTAGCCAAAGGCCGTTTTTCATGTTCTCCTTTTTTTTGCTGACAGACACACAATTACATTATTGCCCACCTATGAATAGACAGGCAACAAACAGCAGGATAAGCACACCTACAGTGTKTCTGTTCTGTGTTAAGCCTGTTAAACTGCTGTACTAAATGTGATCAGTCTAATCTAGGGTCACACAKTCAGACTCCTGTCCAGCTGTTAATGACCAGCTGTGTAAACAAACACAATCTGAACACAAAGCATCTCAGCTGACACATAAACTCTCTCATTCCGTTAATGAAGCATGACAAGACGATGGTTCTGACTTGTCAACATGCAAAAACAGACRATGGGCTCCTGCTCTATAAACACACGTGGACAAACTGCAGCACACAATGAAACTCCTGTTCCAACAATTCACCTCACATTTACATACTCACACAGCACAATCAGGGGAGGGAAACTATAAAACTCAGCATGAAGGCAACACCTGTGGTGACTGTTCTGCACAACACAAAGCTTTAAACTTTCAGATGTAGATGATGAACAGCAAAATGTAACAAACGCATAATAATTCATATTTTTTAATTTCATTGAGCATAATGCATTTCATCAACACAGGACAGAAACAGTTATTTGGTCCGTTTGTACCTTYGATTTAAAGTCAGTATAAAACAAATGTTTCTTTTTGACCCAACATTAAAATGCCTTCAGGCCAACATGTTTTACCCATTTTTTTTCAAGTGTATTTTGCTTAAGAAGATCCTGTTGTCACATCTACATGGGTATAAAAGAGGCTACAGTAGATATTCTAATACAAAAAGATACTTTACATTTTACTGTTTTTTTTTTATTGTTAGACTGAACACACAGAGCCAGTATAATTCATTAATAAATCTAAAGATATTCAGTCAATCTCTTTTACTGTCTCAGTGTTAAATGTTCAAGTATGAGATGAAGGCATCTATGTTACACAAACACAACAGTCCACAGAAATGAAGCTACAGTGAAATGCAGATCTGGAGAACTTTGTTTGTTTCCTCTATTTAAAGCCAACAGGAGGAGTCTGTCAGCTAATATTTTAATAATCTAATCATTTGATACAGATGTGATCAGAAGTTTACATACACCAATCATGGGCATTAGTGTCGTAATAGTTAAAGGCTTTTAATGAGATCTGAGCTGCTCTTTTATTAGGTTTGAATGATCCAACACATTTTAAATCATTTTTTATTTGAAAAATATTATTCAATCATCCACACAGGCTCTAATACAGCCACATCCTCACAAATATTTAGTGAAATGTTTCTTAGCAAGTTGCAYCACACACTTTCTGTATCCATCAAAAAGCTTCTGGCTCAAATCTGGTTGCATACTTAACATTTAGCAATACTATTTTTGTTTTCTTGGTGAATTAGCAATATATTGTGAAGCCTTTCTGAGAAACTGACAAGTCGATGTGAATTCATTAACTGGGCTATTAGTAGGGGTGTAAGAAAATAATGATACTCTGAAATATTGCAATATTTCACTTCCAAATACTGTATCAATTTTTCATTAAAACTTAAAATGTAAATTTCATGCCAGTGGTTCGTTCACTGTTATTTAGCCTGCAGCTGCTAGCTGGCAGCCTCCACTGTTAAAGAGCCAGAGAGTATAACACTAGCTCAAATGGTAACATTGTAAGTAAACGTTAATACTAAATATCGATGGTTGAATCTGAGCAGATTAGATCAACACCCGCTGCCTTCAAAGCTGAGATAGGTGCTAACTGTCCCGTATTAACCAGAATGTCCATATTTTAATTGAAGTGTCCTGTACAAGATACACTTTCTCCCGACTGCAGCCTGCAAGCAGAGCCGTCATGTTACAGAAGGCAGGGAGACAACGTATGGACTATTGTTAGTAAGGTGGGTGACCATCATTTTTTATACATTAATATTATAAATATAAAAGCTGCTACAAATATATTATTAAACTGTTTAATGGCACACTTGGCCTAAGCACTGAAAACAGGAAATAAGAAATTACACAGCTCTAATTATTAGGCTCTATACTGAGCCTGCAGTAGGCTGTTTATGTTTCACCTGCTAACATGCTAGCTCTTGTAGTTTTGTTTCAAAATAGAGTTGACTTGAAAAGTGAGATGGAGGTCATTCTTTTGATAGACAGGCAATCACTGCTGAATAAAATGTTCAACCAATCAAATATGTAATTTTTTAACAAGCATAAAAATCCATACACAACTCATTAACTGCTTGAATTAACAGGTAGGACAAGGTTTTTTCCCTAATCACCTGAACAAATTTATTTTCATCTAAAATTAACAGATGAGTATTGGTCAGTCCAAAAAGAGAAGTAGTCTGCAGTCAATCATGATCACTAAAGAGAGGTTTATAGGTCCTGATCATTCAAGAATCTTCATAACCACCTATTAAATATGTAAGTAAATTTATATTTGTATATATTTATAGTGGACTTTGTTTTAAAAACCAAACAATTTCATTAAACTCTWTTCATTTTGCCAGAGAGAGTGGTCCAATTCAAAACAGAATTAAGTCAGATGTTTACAAAATAATGGGTCATAATGCAACTTGTGTAAAAATGTTCAACWGAGTATTTGTAGGAGTGTTTGTATATAGTTGAGCGTGTAATTTTGGACATATGAATTAAATAAAATTAGTAAATATAAACATGTGCACACAATTCTTGCTTTTAAGAATGGCTGAAGTTGTGTTCTGTATTATGAATCCATCCTGGAAAAAGAATGGTTCATATGAATTAGTAGAAGCTCCAATCATCTCCTGTGAGTGGATGTAAACTTCTGACCKTAACTGATGAACATCATCTAACACACTACAGAAAAAGTTCAGGGTTTTAATATTTGTCCAAAGTCAAACTCAAGCGCCCCCTCRTGCAGGCTGCCTTCGTTTGCGTTGTCGAAGCTGTTCTTGCCGTGGATCTGTTTGAGGTGTTTGCGTAGTACAGGCTTGTGAGCGAACACCATGTCGCAGTAGTTACATCGGTGAGGCTTGTCTCCGCTGTGCAAGTTCAGGTGGTCCAGCAAGGAGCACTTCTGGGTAAAAGTCTTACCGCAGATTTTACACTGGAACGGCTTGATGCCGGCGTGCACCCGCATGTGTCGGTGCAGGTTGCCCTTCTGAGTGAAGGTTTTGCCGCAGAGGAGGCACATGAAGAGTTTGTGCATCTTGAGGTGGTTGGCGTAGTTCTCCAGCTGGCGGAAGACTCGGGCACACTTGGGGCACTGGTGATACCACTGCAAGGGTTTGTCGTAGTTCCTCTGGTGTCCGCTGTATTTCTCTGCAGGGGGGGACTGGGGTGGGGGGCTGAGGGGGTATCCACCCACGCCGGGAGGAACCGCCAACTCGCTGCCGCGGCTGTCGACGGTGGAATTGATGAGGGAGTGTTGGGGCTCGGGGGAGTGGAGCGCGGCAGGAGGGCTGGCAGAGAAGTGACCGGTGATGGAGTTGTCTACCACTTCAGACACAGACTCCACTTTCACTATGGTGATGTCACCTTTCCCCGTACTCTGCTTTGGATGCCTCCTCAAAATCTGGACAGGGCTTTCAGGCTGTATTATTACATCATCGTCATCATCGTCGTCRTCATCACTGTCACCATTATTGTCTTCTTCAACCTGGCCCAGCACCACTTCCTCCTCATCCTCCTCCTCTCCTTCAGGAATGATGTGAACCTGAGACGTCTCGTGATCTCTCTTTGCCTGAGAGGATAAGCCCTCGTCCCTCTTCTCCCTCCGCATGTCCACGTCCACCTCCAGCTGCCGTGATGTTTGAGGTTTGATAAACTTGCTGAGGGCTTGAGTGCACTGCTCCACAATGTGGCCCATTTGGAGGAAGCTGGCCACTGTGAGGTAATGCACCAGCTCCAGCTCAGGGAACTCCAGCTGACCCGTGTAGCAGGACAGCAACAGCTGCTGGCCAACCTCTGCCTCTTGCATCATGGAGATCTGGACCTCCTTTGAGTCTTGCTGAAGAATGAACTGGTCCCTCAGGAAAGACGAGCCGGCAGCAAACACCACCTTGTGACCGGGAACCTCCAGCTGGTTGATGCGCACGGTGACATCACAAAAGCGTTTCTGGTGACGGAGGAGGTTCATCTTCTGCAGCATGGAGTCCCCAAATGTGGCAAAGCGGAACTGCAAGATCACCTGGTTCTGGGCCATGGTGAACCACGAGACAGCAGCACCCGTCTGCCTGATTGGGCAAGGAAAAAAAATCAAACACTTTTTACTTGTGTGAATTTTAAATATGATTTCAAGTTATAAAAATTATATAAAATAAAAAGTAAAGTTTATTCATTTCATTTTTAAAAACCAACAT